TTAGCTCTATTATATACAATATTTTGATATTGTTAACATTGAGTTGGCTTTCTACCTTTTGGTATTTCTGAATATTTTTTAGTTTTTTTATTTTTGCTTTTGAATTTATGAAATTCTTTAAGTCACTTTTTTCTTGAAGCACCTCTTTTTGAATGAACAATTGGGTTTTTAACTACAATAAAACCTTCTTTATCACTGAAACTATAACCTAAACTAGTCTTATTTTCATATTTATGTTGCTTTTTGTTCTTTTTAAGAATCAGAATTTCTTTTTTTATTAATGTGTATTTAGTAATAAAACTATTTATAAAATTTCTAGTTCTTGTATAGCATTAGAGCCAGCATTTATCCTAGTTTGAATTATCTTTTTAGACAATTTATTAATAGTTATATATATTTTGTGATAGTTAACTTGTTTATGAATATTGCTAAAGAAACCATTTGCTAAACAAAAATATACATGAGGAAAAGATTGGTCAAAATTTTTTTTATCTGCATTGTTATTATTAAAACCAATAATAAAAGGTTGTTGTCATGTTTGCAATTCTGATTCAAGTTGTTTTTGTTATTATACCATCATTTTGGTATAAGCATTATGTGAAATGCAGCATAACTAAACACAGTTATGACTTGTAAAAAATTTTTATAAACAAAGTCATTTTGTATTAAACCAAGACATATGCACAAGTGCAAATTGTTTATGAACAATATAATATAATTTTTTGCTTTATGCTTATGTTAAGTGACCTTCTAAATTTCAAGAACAGATTCACCTTCTGATAATGATATTAGTTTCTTAGCTAAAATTGCAAGTGCATCTACAGAATCTTCAATAGAAGTATTAATCTTAATTAAATTTATTTGTTCAGTTATCTCAAATTGTTTAGTCAAATCTGATTATTGCAATTCTAAATTCTGAAAACTATTAATGTGTTAAGATATATACTATATAGCTTGTGCAATCTATTGATGTTGCATCAATAACAAAGTTGGTGTTAGGTATGCAGTAATCCATTTTTCAATGTCAGATGAAAATTCAGAACTGATATAGATAAGTGTAAGCCCTGTAGTAGAATGAATCCAATTTTTATATTGAACAAATGTTGATGCATGATCAATTTGTTTGTCAATATATTTCACAAAGTAGATTAAAGATGTACTACTATTGACTAAATTTTTTATAATACCATTTTGACCTTCAACTTGTTGCATTGACTGCATGCTAGCAGTAAAAATTCTAGAAGTATAACAGAAAGCCCAATGTTCTTTTTCACCAAAAAGAACATGATCGAGATACAAGACTGCATCAGAAAATTTTATTAAAAGTTTATTTTATAAAAGATTAAATTGCTAATACAAAAGAGCAGTACACATTTAATACCAATTTTGGAAAACTCATTATTTCTTTTACTAAGTTTACCTTCCAGATTTTTTATTAAGTTTTGGCCAATATAGTATATACAATGAACATGATAGGTGTTAGGTAAGACATTAGCAATTGCTGCATTTATAGCAAGATTATTATCAGTTATAATTGTTAAAGAGGCAGCACCAGTATTTGTAACTAGAATTTGTAAAACCTACTTATAACTTTTAGCATTTTATCATTTATAAGAACTTGCTCTACTAATTGGAAATAATTATTATTATCTACTGTTACAAAAAATTCTAGTGCTATCTTAAACTGATTTGTTGAATAAGTGTTGTCATGTTGAATAACATTTCAGTATTGCATATACAGATCATGCTGATCAGGTAATATTCAATAAAGAGAAGTAAGAGAATTATTGCTAGAATTAACTTTTCAATTAACAATCCATCTAGCATTTTCAGCTTTACATTATTATCTTATATCTACTTTTTTTAAAATTGTAGATAACTAGAGTGACCTTAGACAGTGAACACTTTTATAACCTCACTTGTTACTATGTTATAACTAAGTCAGAAGGCATTTTATTTTAGAAAACTTAACAAAGAAAATTTAAGGCAATTTGCAATTACAAAAGAGGCTACAATTAAAAGTATATGAGAATACTAATATTTATTTAATTTGGATAGTATAAACTAGTAGTTTATTAGTGAAAGAGTATGAAGACTCGATGTTGAACTTGGAGTCCACATCTGCTGCTTTTATACTTTTTGGCTACATAGTGGATATAATAGTTTTTATCTTTTACAAGTAAAAGATATTTTGTAACTACTATTAATAAAATAAATAAGATATGTTAACCCACTATAAAATTATTTGTCGAATGTGCCTTTGATCATTGCCTTATTTGTTGCGATTTTTAATAATGTTTTATTTTTTAACAGGTTTTATTATTACTCGTAAAATGCTGTGTTTCCTTTTTAATTGGAAAGGAAATGATCAATGTAGGTATTTTTTATTTATTGTATTGTATTGTATTGTATATAGTGTGCTAATCTGCACTATATGTGCTATATGTTCCCCGTAATTTTTTTTATCGTACTTGGGTTATATTTATACTTTTTGAAAAAATCAGTTATATGATCTTTTGACTATTGTGTCTTGTATTTATACGTATTGACGTTGTGTTATTATTGACACCTTATGATTATTTACCTCCTTTATTTTACATCTCTTAAAGTAAGGTTTCTTTCGGTCTTTGCCTTGAAAATCGTGGTTAAATCATGTGATTACTATGTCCTGTAATGTCATTTTCAAGGCAGAGGCCCATATCTCCGTTTTAGTTTGATTACATATTTTCACACTTATTCGTTGATTTGTCTATTTGGTTATCTCTATGTAGGCACGATTAGCCTTGTGAATTTGTTTTAATAATACTTGTATTCTATTGATTTGATTTTACAATTTATGAAATTAATTGCGATATTGTTTATCCGATTGGAAATATTACATGCTGTTCGTAGTAGATTAGTTTTGTAATTTAGAACTGATTGCTAATTTTATTATGCTTGATTTATTGTATTAAATGATTGATGAAACCATCTAGTGGAAGAACGATCATATGCGCGCATGTGTAACAAATTACTTTGTATAATTCCGATTCTTTTGAGTTATTTATTATTATTACATTACTACTAGTTATTATAGTACACAAATAGCTTTGTATGTTTATAATGATTTTTTGTTATTTAAAAAAACACTTATTCAGATTTGTTGTTCGTGTTATTAACGTTAATTATATATATGATTTTTTATGTATACGTAGCATGTTTTAAAAACTTGGTATTGTTAGAGAAATTTGTATAGATTGGTAAATCGGTATGATAATGGTTATGTGTACGTATATGTATGTATCTATATGATGCACGAGCAAGGTAATATAGTATATGTGTATCTAATATGCAAGTGAATTAATATAATATATGATTATCTAATAGTCTTTGTGAGATCTGAGTTTATAAAATCTATAGATAATATATGATTATTTTTATAAATATGAGATGAATAATAATTTATGATTATGCATAGTACAATAAATACTCATCTGATGTTCGCTTCCTGTGATTATATACAATCGAATATTTATTAAACATTACAACTAAAGCTGAACCTTGCATCACTCACTGGCTTAAATTGTTAACAAATGTTTGTGAAAGAATAATCAAGCTATCTGTAGAGGCTGTGAGAATGTGGTATTGTATTATCATTATCACTATTAGACCTTTAATGTATTTGCTTTATAATTTACTTTTTCAATTATTTTCAGCTTTTCGGTCATTAGATGTTTGTAGTGTGGCTTTACCATTAATTTTCTGCATATCGTAAATGTGTACAAGGTTGGCGATGAAGACTAAATTATTAAAATTCGTTAAGGTTAGAGTTATAGTCAAAGTTATGATCTAGTGAGAAAGTGTTTATACAGTAAAATTGGTCAACGAAAACTTTTTGTTAAAGCACAAAAGGTGGTTTCTTATGCTAATTTTTGAGCCATGAGCAATTTTTAGCAGAACGAATGTTTGTTTTTGAATCTTTCTGATCGTGTTATGTTACACCTAATCTTGAAATCTGATTCGTAGTTCAGGAGATCTGTGCCACCAACTTTGTACACATTTACGATATGCTAATTTTCTTGATTATTTCAGAGTTTTCGACTATTAGACTTCTACACTGTGGCTTAAATGTTGACATTCTCGATTTCTCGGCTATTAAACCTCTGCATTGTGGCTTAAATTTTAATTTTTCTTATTTCTCGGCCATTATAATGTGGCTTGAATGTTGACAATTCAGGTCTCTCGGCTATTAAATTTTTACATTGTGTTGTCGCTTAAATTCCAATTTTCTCTATTGTTTCTTATTTCTCAGTGGTTATAATATGGCTTAAACATTGACGTTCTTAATTATTTTAAATCTCTTGGCTATTAAACCTTTCGGCTATTAAACCTTTATACTGTTGCTTAAATTCCGGTTTTCTCGCTTATTTCTTATTTCTCAGCCGTTATAATATGGCTTTCTCGGCGATTCAAATTTCTAAGCTTCTCATTATATCAGCTTTCTCGGTTCTGAGAGTTCTTTGCATTTTTTTGTGTTATTTGATTTATTTGTATTAATTATCAGTGGAATTAAATGAAGAAGGTTATATGTGAAATTTGACTTTTTATTTTTCTTGAAGCCTCTTTCTGTACTGTATCTCTATTCATCTAATTATTTATCTTTAATAACCCATTTATTAGATTGTATCTATTGCGAAAAAACTTATTAAATCTGAGGCTTAAAGATGGATTGTTATTATATGCTTTGCTTTTTGGATTCATTGTATTAACTGTATAATCGAAATTTTGTATAAATGTACTATGAATTCAATGTAAAATTAAACAGTTCGAAATACATTTCCTATTTAGATTTTAAAACATTATTATGACCTATTGTTCTACTATCAAGATCCGACGCACTGATTATTTAAACGTGATTGTCATTTTTTTTTCTTTATTCGTCTTACTCTTTATATGCTTTCTATATAATAAACATTATATATATATACAGTCTTCAATAAATATATCCTTATTTTTTTGAAATGCTATCACACACTACGTTAATTGCTGTTGTGGTCACAAAGGAAGATTCCAATTTACTTACTCAAGGTTTCACTAAATATCAGCCTACTAAGGATGAATTTAAAGTCATTCGATGGAAATACTTTTACCCTTTTGAAAAACCCTACACTGATTTTTCTGTGGGTGACGTTGTGATGCTTGTGGGAAAATTTGTTGTTAAAAATTTAGAACAATATCTTATTGCTTCTAATATTAGTATTATTGCTGTTAGTGGTCTGAACCGGGAATTTGAATCAGACGAGATTCCGCTTAGTGTGCCGCATTGTATGTTTCTCGTGTTGGTCAAACGTGACCCACAACCAATCAGGGATTCTACTTTTTTTGATGTGGAGTGCTTTCAATATAACTCATTTACTAATTCTAAACGAGTTCTTATGAAGTTAAGAATCCTTTATTCTACGAATGTGCCTCGATTTGCTTATATACATGCTAAGAACAGTATTAAGCCAGGTCGAACATTTCTCGTATCGGGTTTTGTTAGACATATAAATCCTGAGGCAATTGCAATAGAAGCTACGGATATTGATTTTATGTATGCATTTAATGCAGTTGTTAATCATAATGTGCAGGAGATTCCCTCAATGACTATTTCTAGTTAACGATCTGCTTTCGATGAAATAGTTGATGAAATTGAATCTACTATCTCACAGACACCAAAAAAAAACAATATATTGGCCACGAATTCTCATAGTACAACTTCTGCCCGTAATTTAAAAGAACCTATTATGCCGATTTTAATTTAGCTTCTGCATATGCTTCTTCTAGTACTGAAGCGACTAAACTTCAGAAGGGTAAGAAGAAGCTATCTGATTTAGCTTTGGACTGTCTTGGATTGAACATTGTTGACGAACAAGAAAATAAAAGTGAAGACGATAATAATATGGCAGATGATGAAGTCATTGATTTAGAAGAACAAATTTCTGATGAAAAAGCAAAGAAAAGAAGAAAAAAGAATGTAAGAAAGAGATATTAAATTAAAACACTTAATATATAAAAGTGCTTTTATTTGTAAATAAAAATTAGATTAGATTAAGCTTTTTTATTTTCTTACTTTATTATACGTATTCTATATTTTTTGTCGATTTTTTATTATTCTTATATATATGTATATAGTACTTATTATTTTTATAAGTTTTGTATGATGCATTATGTAAGAGTTGCCCAATAAAAGTATTTGATTAATATTGATTTTTAATTGTAGTCGGTAAATATTTTATTTTTATATTGCATATCTTTTTTAGAAAATACCATAAGATCTTAAGTGCACACTCTATGCAACTACATGATATATTTTAGTTTTGGTTTATAATAGCATTATATTTTTTGTTTACTATAAAATGCGATTTCTCTCTAGGTGCACATTTTTGAATTTTTTTACTATAGTTCAGAGGAGGTTCATTTATAAACTTTTACTGTACATATTTTTTAACAAAAATATTCACTTAACGGTTATTGTTTACTTTTTAATTAATGGTTTAAAATAAGCTATTTAATTTATAATTTATTCGTTACAATTTTTTATAAATGTTTGACTCTATATAATAACAAACGAGTCTATAATGAACCCTAGATCTAATGTATTCAATATTTTAAATACAGTAAAATCTCTATAAGCACATGTTCTATAAGTGCATCATTCACTCTAAGTGGATAGTACATATTGATCCCAGATTATAATGACATTGTATTTTTTACTCCTTGTGAATGCATGCTGTCTCAAAGTGGGCCTTTTTGAAATTTTTTACTACAGTCCTAAAAGAAGTGCACTTACGGAGGTCAAGCAGATTCTGGGCTAAATATCACCAATAAAGGGTATGGGATTTTGCACAACAAACTAACTGTAAAAAAATTAAATACACAGAGAAACTCTATATATTATGGATCTAAAGTTTTAGAATTACAGGTCTGGAATTCACTTAATGTAAATATGTTGTAAGACCTTCATGGCCGTGTGTTCTATAAGTGCAATTCTTCATACCTGCGTAGTATACATTGGTGCTACTTATAATAACATTGTATTATTTACTCACTATAAATGTATGTTCTCTTTAAGTATATTTTTTTGAAAATTTTTACTATCAGTGCCTTACGACGGTTTTCTCAAGAAATTGTGTGAAATCTCTAAAATTCCGTTGGCTATTAATATTAATTTCGTATTAATATGATAATAATCTGTGACATTTGATGAACTTAAAGTTTTTTGTTCTTATTAATATGAATACTTTCTTTTTTCATTTTGTATATATATAAAGTATAAGATTAACTATAATTTTTTTATTAACTTGATTTTAGTAAATTTGATAATTACGAACACCATATCAACATTTCATATCTTCCTTAATATTCTTCCAACCTAAAGAATGCTTTACGTTGATTCAATCGTTTGATTTAATTATTATTTTTCTTTTCTTTCTCGGCTTTAAGTGTGGCTTTAATTTCGTTTTGAATATGTGACTTAACCTAATAAAATTTTAATTACACTTTCTTTTCGGATACGTATCATTTCACTTCACTGAGCACCCTTCATACAGCATAAGGAGTAATATTGAACAATAATTATTAATCATCAAAAAATCGTTAAATATTAACCATCGCTCTGTGTGATGGGGTGTTCAGCGAAGCGATTGTCAATGAAATGATACGTATCTGTATTATGCTTAAAAAATAAATCCTGTATTTGCTTATTTCACCTTTTACCTTAACCCTTCTTATATTCAAATGATTAATCTGCTGTATTATAAAATATTA